AGGAGCTCAGTGACCTGCTGCGGGAGTTTGATGAGGTGATGGAGGACTTTGACAGAGGCCCCGCTCGTCAATACGAGCAGCACTTGGAGGAGCTGAAGAGGAAGGCGGCACACAGCGTGTACGACAGCGGCATTGAGGAGCTGGAGAGTGAGTCTGGGGCTGGGGAATGAGGAGTCCTGGGGCAGGATGGCGTCTGTCGGGATGGAGTCGCTTCAGGAGCTCTGGTCAACCACGGAGCAAAAAATCTCGCCTCTGAGCTGCCCGCCTGATTCATCTCTCGGGGGCTGGATGAGTAGCACGGGGTGATGACTGCTGGGTCCTGGCCCTGGCCCTGCCGACATCTGCTGGGGCTGCTTCTGCTGGGCTGGCTGCTGCAGGACTGCGGGAGGCTCGAGATAACTGGAACCTCTGAGGGAACCAGTTGACTGTAATAACCCCGAGGAGTCTCCGTGGCTGTGCCCAGACAGCCTCTGGTGCTGTTTGGCCTGGCAGAGAAGCTCAGTTCCCTTGTTCCAGGTGTTCCTTGCAGCAGGGGAAGAGCAGACGGGCTGGCCCAGAGCGGGGGTGGACCAGGGACCCTGTGCCATGCACAAGGTTGATCCCTGATCCGGCAACACATTTGTAACGTGCCTGTGGCCAGGATGGTGACTGATGCTTTGTACGTGCAGGTACCAGCACGTCCCCAGGCAGCAGTCTCAACTCCAGCGAGGAGGACCTCAACACCCCTGCCAACGCTTACCCCGCCAAAGGTGAGGCTGCAAGATCTGCCCGCAGGGCTCATTCCGGGGCTTCCTCCTCTCTGCTTGGCTTGGCTCAGCAGCAATGGGCCTCCGCCTGCCCCGAGCCCGGGGAGGGGTTGTGCCAGTGGGTTCTGTGGGATCTGGAGGTGGGAATGAGCCCTGGGGTCCTGGCAGGGTCCTGGAAGAGAGGCGTGAAGTTGGATCAGCGTGTTCCCAAGCAGAGCCAGGCTGAGCCAGAGCTGTGTTTGGGAGGGTCGCAGAGGGGCTTTGCCCCTGGCCTGGGAAGCGCAGGAGTGTGCAGGGATGAGACGGCCCAGGGAAGGGAGCGCCCTTCCCACGCGCACGGATCCAGCTCTGGCCTCAGCTGAGCCCTGCTGACCGACCTCGTGGCCGTGGCAGGATGTGTTCTGCCTCTGCTTTCCCCCGCGCTGAGCCGGGGGCGCCGCTGGTTGGGTTATGGGATGCTGCTCTGCGTGATGCCTGCGGGTGCCATCCCACCCCCGGAGCTTGTGCCTGAGATCGGGGGGTGAAACGCTGCGTGTCTGCAGTCAGGGTCAGTCCTTGGCGAAACCCCTCGCTCCTCCCCTGATCCGTGCGCACATGGCAGGGGCACCCTGCCCTGGGGGTGGGTGATGCTGGAGCTGCCCCTGAGCCCCACGGGACAGGGGG